CAAAGGCACCTCCGCTGCTGACGCTTCGGTATCGCCGGCAGCGAAGGACATTGTCAGTGCGCGACCGGTGCTTTGACGGCCGACGACCCAGCAGCTCTTCACATTCAACCTCAGAGAGCTAGGGATGAGAAAAGGAAGAAGAAGAAGGTTGTTTAGTAAACAGAGGGTTCGATTTGGGAAAACAGCTGCTCTTACCCGATAGAAGGGATCACCGAGAAGGTTGACGGCCACCAGCGAGCGGACGTACGACTTGAGGCTGTCACTGCCGCCCGGGGCAAACAGCGTCAGGTTGAGCTGCGAGTTGAGGGCGGCGAAGACCAGTGTGGCCCAGGTTCGACTGACGGCTCGCAGGCCCATCAGGAAGGTCAGACTCCGGCGGTTGAGAAGGAGGATCTGGCGGAAGACCGCCTCCAGGAGGAAGGTGGCCGGGTCGACCAGTGGACCAGCGGCGATGGTAGGGTTGTTGCTGTTTTCGTTGTTGACGACAAGCAGCCCCTCCTCGGCGTCGACGTACTCGTCGTCGTCGTCGTCCTCGTCGGCGGTGTCATCGTCGCCGACATGGTCCTTGGCATCCTCTCCAAACTGCTCCAGACTGTCGAGGAGCAGTGTTGTCATCGTCGAGGGCGAGGAGCAGGAGTCAGTAGAACGCAGCGTTGTGGTTGCTGTTGTTGTTGTGGCGGTGATTGTGTTGCTGAGATCAGAAGAAGAAGAAGTTTTTGGAATCAGTGCTGAAGAAGGTGGTGAAGAGACGGCGGCGGCTGCTGAAGCAGAACAGGAATCAGAAGTGACCGACGGCGAGGGCGACCCCCGTCCCGTTGACANGACCGACGGCGAGGGCGACCCCCGTCCCGTTGACATCCACTCTTCGGGGTCCTCCTCCTCCTCCAGGTCCTGGTCCTGGTCCTGGTCCTCTTCCGGATCCGGGCGATTCTGCTGCTGCTGATTCTCCATCGTCGATGCGGCGGCGGCGACGGCGACGACGGCAACGGCGACGACGACAGCGGCGACGGCGGTGGATTCGACGAGTGGAGAGGCCACTGCTGCTGCTCACTACTTCTGCCACTACTTCTGCTGCTGCTGCTGCTG